CCGCCCACCTACCCGTCTTCGCCTAGTTCTCTCTCTTCTCTTTAAGATCTCGTCGGTTCGTTAGTCACTCACAAATTGACGTCGTGGCGAGTAACAAGTAATCCGTTAAGCTCGATTTACCTCCTCTCGATTTTTCGATCAAATTTTCCACGAGACATTTCCTCTTGCCAGAAAATTTACACTTCTTTTATAAATTAATTAACGAAACACATACATTTACGTACGTATATATAAGATCTATAATAAAAATGATCATAAGTTAAATAAACGAAATGTAATATCGTGAAGCAAAGATGCACTTTTTTTTTTTAAAAGACAAATTTTGAATTATACGAATGAAACCGTATACTTTTGCTCTCGTATTGAACAGTTATATTTTTTTCACTGTTCTAAAGTACAATTTTCAAAAGGTTTTTTTTTAAATAAAAAAGGAAAACGTAAAAGGATCAGTACAAGAAACCTAATGAAGATAAATTTAAACGGAGAAGTTCGTTACTGATAAGAAAATATCTTAATTCTAGCTTCGATACGTCAAATAATCTAAATTAATCGACAAATTATTGTAACACAATAACCATAAATCGTCGTTAATAACCGTAACCGTTGGTTGATGCGAACATTAAACTCGAATTAATTACAAGAAAAACAACATTTTTCTTTTCTCTATTGTTTTTCTTTTTTTTTGTTTTGTTTTACGTTTACCGAGAATTTTTCTCAAGGAATATATTTTTCGGAATCTCTTTAAGTGGACATATTTTATTTGATTATTATACTAATTAAACGGAGAGGATAGGAACAATTTCAAACAAAATAAATAAAAAGAGACAATGAAATGGAATGAGAGAGATAGAAATTAAAAAAAAAAAAATAGAAAAAAGAAAGAGAAATCGTTTTTGGTAGGTCGATCGCGGTCGAGAAGGTCGGGGGTGGTCTCAGTATTAACAAGAAGGACAGAAAATTATATCGGGTGCTTGCCTGGGCTCCCTTAATTACTTTATCAATAATCATGCACGCAACGCAGGCGACCGCACTCGACAAAACTTTCGACGACTAACATAAGCTCGAAAGTGTTCCGAGTCCTCTCTCTCTCTCTCTCTCT